AACACAGTTATTAATTGATGGGGTCGAAAGGAAGGGGGGGGCGGGGGGGTGCTCTTCGGGGAGTGCGGTTTTGCCGGATGTTTCTGAAATAATGTCAGCTTTTGCCCGGGTTTATTTTCCAGCTCGGGTGGTGCGGAGATGGAAAAAGATCTCTCTGTCAAAGGAGGAGGGGAGTGGGGGAGGGAAGAAAAAAAAATTAAAAAAAAAAAAAAAGAAAGAAAAGCCCCGCAGAGCAGGAGAGGCGGCGTGGGGCCATGCGCAGGAGGCGCGGGCCGCCGCGGAAGGGATGTGCGCGGCCGCGGAGGTTTCGCGCTGGGGCTGCCCGTTTTTCCCGCTGGGAAAGGGTCCCCCGCGCCCTGACCACCATGTGCGAGGGCTGCAGGGAAAGCTGTGGTTTCCCAGTTTGTGTTTAATTAAAGTAGCAACAATTCTGGAGTGACAAGGGAAGCTGGGAGAAGGAAACAAAAGCTGCAGGAAGGAGGGCGATACCCATTCTCCACCCAGACCTTTTCAGGGGGAGTTTATCTCTTATTTCAGTTTATTATTTTTTTTATTATTTTTTTTTAATAGCTGTTGTTACTCTTCTGAGTTTTAGCAGGTCCTATAACCTAGAGAATGGCAGTGGCAAGAGTCGGTGCCGAAGTGGCAGCCGGTGATAAACAGGGTTGTGCCTCCCAGCCTGATTCGCAAACAAAGTTAGGGACCGGCGTCTGGAAGGGACTCCGAGATTAGAGGGGATTATTTGAGATTAGAGAGGGAGATTTGCTCCGGTTTGCCCTACCCCTGCGTGTGACCCCTGGGTGCTGGAGGAGGGCTGAGGACCTGCCTGCTTTTCTTCTCGGAGAAACTGCAAAAATACCTTTCACGTTTTTAGGCGTTTGGTTTGTTGGGTTTTCTTCCTGAAAAAAAAAATACAAAAACCGATTTAAACTAAGATGCCTTATGATTTGAAATTGTAACACAGCCCGGCGCGGAGGGCAAATTTTTAATGAGATCCTGGCGGGGTTAAACCCGGAGTGGGGGTAAATCCCACCGCGGCCGCTTTCCTCTGCCCCCCCCCCCCCCCCCTAATGAGATCCTGGCGGGGTTAAACCCGGAGTGGGGGTAAATCCCACCGCGGCCGCTTTCCTCTGCCCCCCCCCCGTCCCGGCTCCCTCTCGGCCCGGTTTCTCCCGTCTCTTCCCGGCGGAAACCCAGAGGATTTGGCTTTTGCGGGGCTTATTTCGGTTTCTCTTTCCCCGCCGCCGCCGGGCCTTGCGGCTCCGCCGGGCCCGGGGGCGGGGGGGGGGGGGGGGTGCGATGGGGTCTGTGCTGCAGAGGCCTTGTTTGCTCTGCAAACTCTTGGAGCAGAGGGAGAGACCAGCCGGGCTGCCCCCGACCCCTTGGGGGGCTTCCAGTGAGCTGCTGAAGCTCGCTTTCTCCCTCTCCCCCCCTCCCCCCCCTAATTAATTTTGCCAGGGAGGGTGCCCAGGCGAGGGACGATTCGGGGGTGACTTTGCAAGGACGAATCCTCCCGGGCTTTGGATACAGCCCGCGATTATTTTTAGACTCTCTCTTACCTCGGAGAGGTCGGGGTTGGAGAAATGCCCCCGGGCCCGCCGCCGGCGGGGGGAAAACCTTCCAAAAAGAAGGGTAAAAAAAAAATAACCACCCAAAACCAAAACAAAAAAAAATCCCACCAAACTTTCCAAAAAGAAAAACTCCCCGCGGAGTTTCCTTTAGGAGGCCGGAGACCCGGGGGATGGTCCGCGGCCCCCGGCCCCGCAGCCTCCCGCCGCCCGGCCGCACCTTCCCCCGCTCCCGCCGGGGCCCAGCCCCGGGAGCACATTTCGTTCAGGCCTCCGAGTCCCTTTTCCGAGCTCTATACAACCCGCTCGAATCCGGCCCAAAACCGGGCTGGGAGAGCCAGAAAGGCCGTTAGGAAAAGAAGGGAGCCGTGATTTGTCCTCCCGTTGCGGCGGGATTCCTCCCGCTTCCACTCCGCGCAAATCCCCACCGCCAAAACGCTCTTTTTCTTTTTTTTTTTCTTTTTTTTTTTTTTTTCCTTTCGATATGATTTTTGCAGAGGGCTTCGCTCAGCCTCAGGTTAAAATAAATCCTAAAAATAGCGAAAAGAAAAACAAAAAAAACCAAAACAAAAGTAGCAAGAGTGGGAGGGTAGAGGAGAAACGAGAAGGTGCCTTTTTGCAATTAATTGCTCCTGGGTTTTACACCCCTGCCCTTCCGAAGTTTCCTCTCGCGGCCGAGCACAACAAAGACAATGGAGCAAAGATCGCGCCGGGGGTGGAAGGGAAGGAGAAGGAGCCGTGCAAAAGCAAAAAGGCCCATGATGAGGGGAACCCCCTCGCTCCCTCTCACCCCTCCTGGAACCGGGCAGCCCCGGGGGTCCCGCTGCCTCCCCGGGTGCCCTGGACCCGGGCTCCGCGCTCCTTCCGCGGTTAAAGCGCCGGGTTGGGCTGAGGGGGGCTCGGTGGGTGCAGGGACCCACACGGTTGTCCCCACGCGTGCCCTCGGTGGGGCGGGTATGGGCTGGGTTGGGGGGGGCGGCGGGGCTGCCTTTGTGTGCTTGTATTTCTGATTAAAAAAAAAAAAAAATTTAAAAACCACCAAAACACCACCAAAAAAAACCCCAAAACAATCCCACCGTAGAAAAGGAGCGCAGCGGCGAACAGAAAAACGAGGACGGGGCCGCCGACGACCCGGCGAAGAAGAAGAAGCAGCGGCGGCAGAGGACCCACTTCACCAGCCAGCAGCTCCAGGAGCTGGAGGCCACTTGCCAGAGGAACCGCTACCCCGACATGAGCATGAGGGAGGAGATCGCCGTCTGGACCAACCTCACCGAGCCCCGAGTCCGGGTAAGAGGGGCGCCCGGGGATGCGGGGGTTCCGCTCCGGGTCCCTTCGGAAAAATGGGGGTTCGGGGGAAATTGGCTTTTTCGGGAGCCGCTGAGAGGGGTTGGAGAGAAGCTCTCGGCTGGAGAGAAGCTCTCGGCTGCTGTGGGGTTGATTTTAATTGCTAAAATTGAGATGTAGGGCCGGAGTGGGGAAATTCGGCTCCCGGCGGCGGAGAGATGCCGCTCGGAGCTGACGGCTCCGCGCTTGCGGAAGGGGCAGAAAAATCGGGGGGCGAGCAGCGCAGGGGGCAGCGGGGTGTTCGGGGCTGGGGAAAGGCGCATCGTGGGGGGAACCAACCCCCCCCGGGTTGTCCTAAACCCGGTGCGGGGCTACAGCAACCCCGCATCCGCGCAACCGGGCAGTTCCAGTTCCCTGGCTCTGGTTATTCTCAATAATCCCCAGCAATTCCCCCAAAAAAACTCTACTCGATGCCGTGGAGGCGGCGGGATTGCGGCTCAGCCCCCCCGGCTGTGGGTGCCCGGCCCTTCCGCGGCCGCGCATCTCCCGCGGGAAGGGGGGGGGCTGTTTGCGGAGGGCAGCGATGGGCGCAGTGAAGGACAAGGGTTGGGGAGCTCCAAAGTCAATAAGAGCTGTAGACACAGATTTGTACGGCCCAGGCGCCTCGGAGCCGACGCCACCATAAAAATAAATATATATAAAAATATATCCCGAGCCTCGGCGGTTCCTTAGAGAGATTTAGGGGTGAAATATCCCGGCAATGAAGGAGCAGAGCGGAGCTGGATTGATCCCTAGGTTTTCTGTTTCCGCACCCCCTGACTGGGCTGTCACGGTTTCTCCATCTCCCCTTTGTGTTGCCCCCCCAAAATCCCCACACACCCCCCCGGGACACTTCTCCCCGCGGTTTCGGCCGTGGCTGCGCACCCCATCCGCGCCGGCGGGCCGTGGGCTGAGTCCGCTGCCGCGGAGGGAACCGCGGAGGGAGGGCAGCCCCGCCGCCGTCCCGAAAAGCCACTTTTTTTATTTTTTTTTTTTTTTCCCTTGGCAATTAAACCTCGAGTGACCAAATCGGATTACAGAGATTCTGCTTTAAACCTTTCAAGAGTAAACACCCATCTGCAACGGGGGAAACGCATCTGAAAGCATTGTCTTAATTGAGTTTAAAACAAAACAAAGCCGGAGCGGAGACTAAACGGCATTAATATTGGTGGAATATTTCAGGAAGCAAATAAAACTAATATATGAGTTGCCATTAACGTAATTTCGTTCTCCTTCTGCGTGGAGATGTTTTGGGTTGATGTTCTGAGATTGCAGATTGCAAATCTAACCTTAATTTGCTACGAGGGCCTTCCTTTAAAATGTCTAGGAGCCATAATTAAAACTATTACCCTCATTTTCAGGAAATTCCTGTCTGGAAGCACCTTCCGAGGAGTATATTACAGGTTTTGAACATGTTGGCTTTCGTTTCCTATTTATGCGGGATTCTTTTTATTATTGTTATTTTTTTAAATAGACTCCGCCATCCATTCCCCTCCTCCCCCCTCGAAGTTTCCATCCTCGAGACCGGTGTTTAATAATAGTTGCGCCATTCCTGCGCCGGGAGGGGAGGCCCAAAAACTACACCC